CACAAATCTGGCCTTTATGGAAGAGTGGCAAGAAGAAAGCCATTTCTCAAAGATATCCATAAAAAGTGTTGTTTAAAGTTTGTCACAAGCACCTGGGAGACACACCAAACATGTGGAAGAAGGTGCTCTGGTCAGATGAAACCAAAATCGAACTGTTTGGCCACAATGCAAAATGATATGTTTGGTATAAAAGCAACACAGCTCATCACCCTGAACACACCATCCCCACTGCCAAACATGGTGGTGGCAGCATCATGTTTTGAGCCTGTTTTTCATCAGCAGGGACAGGGAAGATGGTCAGAATTGATGGGAAGATGGATAAGGCCAAATACAGGACCATTCTGGAAGAAAACCTGTTTGAGTCTGCAAGAGACCTGAGAGTGGGACGGAGATTTATCTTCCAACAAGACAATGATCCAAAACATAAAGCCAAATCTACAATGGACTGGTTCACTAATAAACATATCCAGGTGTTGGAATGGCCAAGTCAAAGTCCAGACCTGAATCCAATCGAGAATCTGTGGAAAGTGCTGAAGACTGCTGTTAACAAACGCTCTCCATCCAACCTTACTGAGCTCGAGCTGTTTTGCAATGAAGAATGGGCAAGAATTTCAATCTCTCGAAGTGCAAAACTGATAGAGACATACCCCAAGCGACTTGCAGCTGTAATTACAGCAAAAGACGGAGCTACAAAGTATTAACGCAAGGGGGCCGAATTATATTGCACGCCTCACTTTTCAGTTGTTTATTTGTTAAAAAAGTTTGACACATCCAATAAATTTCATTCCACTTCACGATTGTGCCCCACTTGTTGTTGATTCTTCACATAAAATTAAAATTTTATATCTTTATGTTTGAAGCCTGAAATGTGGCAAAAGGTTGAAAAGTTCAAGGGGGCCGAATACTTTCGCAAGGCACTGTATATGTGTATGTATATTATATATGTGTGTGTGTATATATATGTGTGTGTGTGTATATATATATATATATATATGTATATATAATGTATATATATGTGTATCCTGATGCATGCTCAATAATCCAGGTAGAAAAATCTAAAAAAGTTAAATCTGGTCCTCTGGACATTCAAAAAAAAACAAACAAAAAAAAACAAAAAACAAAGCAAATCAACAAAAAATGTAGAAACGTTTCGTCTCTCATCCGAGAGACTTCCTCAGTCTAAGGAGCTGTATTCAGCTCAGTCTCTTAAATAGCACTTTCTCAGAGTGGATCAACCAGTTTTGCTGCTGACAACCAAAACCAGCTGATCACATGCTCAAGAAGGACCATCAGCCTAACAATGGATCATTAGCACACTGATGGCTGTTTACTGTTCACAGAGGGCTGAGTGATACTAGCAATCACAGCATTGTAAGAGGGGGACAGTTGAACCCGGAGGCCTCCACCCCTGTTTAATGATGGACGATTTCTTTTCACAAAGATGGCCTCCTTTACTCCTCTCTCAAACCATCGTTCCTCTCTGTCCAGGATGTGAACATCTTCATCCCTGAAAGAGTGACCGCTGGCCTGGAGATGAGTGTAGACCGCAGAGTCCTGGCTTGATGATGTTGATCTTCTGTGCTGGGCCATCCTTTTGGCCAGTGGCTGTTTTGTTTCCCCGATCAGTGATCAGTCCTACATCGGGGAAACAAAACAGCCACTAATGGATTGTGTCCATTCTACTGATCCATTTTATGAGCCTCCTTCAAGGTCACTCCCACCATGCTGACAAGTCCCAGAAGCCGCAGGTGGCCTGTAACTCTCATTAATCGCCTCCACCTTACGGTTTAGCTTGTAAATCAGCTGATTTTGAGTGCTCACAGCACAAATCAAACCTTCATACTGACTCAAAAGTTTTGTCATGACCGAAATTGCTGCCCATGTCTTCTTCAATAGTCGATAAAACAGAGCCCTGCCGATGCCAAAAAGCAGAGTCCCTGCTATCATAAATCCAAATATATAAACGTCTTCAGCATCCTCCGGAGACAGAACTGAGATTCACATCAACTGCCACACTCCCCACGTATTCATGACGTACCCCACAGTGTGCATCTCAGCTGGTCAAGCAGGTTCTCCAAGACCTTGTAATTTTGTTGAAAAAATCTTGTTGATGGCATTGAACGTCCAGGATACCAGATCCATAATCTTAATTTACGTTCGGGAGATGTGTATCTGGCACTTCAGACACACAGAGAGCGAAACAGGGGGAAGGGAAAAAACGGGAGAGGGAAGTCGAGCAGCCACCTCGAGCGAGAGCTGTCCAGAAACACTTCTCTCCAAAACTACAAACACTCACTATTTAAATTCCTCATGGACGGAGGAAAGCAGCTTGTCCACTTCATGTCTGATTGTTAATTTATTTAGTTTGTGCTTCTGTAAAGCACTTTGGATTACCTTGACTTTGAAAATCGCTGCACAAAGACGATAAATTTATTGAAAAGTCTGCTTCTTGACCATGATATCTGTCCAGTTAAAGCTGTAATGTTTGTTCTGGTTCTCAGATGGCGCTGTACTACTGTTCAGGCATATTAAAGGAGGAAGAGCACTTTAAGCATTACGCCTTGAACGTTCCGCTGTACACACACTTCACCTCCCCCATCCGACGATATCCTGACATCATCGTCCACAGGCTGCTGGCGTCTTCACTCGGTATGACTGTTCCTACCAACGCCTCTCACCATCACACATGTGCATGTCCAGCTTGTTGTTCCAAATTTTTTTGTGCTGGAAGATATTTCTGAACAAACAAAGTAACCAGACTGTCACTAGCTGTTTCTTGTTCCTACTGTATTGACTCCTCTGTCTCGCTGATGTTCCTGCATGCCTGCTGGATGTTTTGCACACAGAGTGTGGGCCTCTTTTAAGCCTGTCCATGGAGGAAGTACGAAAAGTAGCATCCCGCTGTAATGACAAGAAGACGATGTCCAAGAGAGTCCATGAGCTCAGCTCAGATCTTTTCTTTGGAGCGTTTGTCAAGGTGAGAAATGATCACCAAACATATGCCAGCAGTGATTTCCACTAAATGTTCTCTAACTCTGTGTCAATTCTCCCCCCAGACATTAAACCAAATGTTAACAAAGCATGAAATACACTGCCTGGCCCCCAAAAAAAGTTGCCACCAAAAAAAGGTCACACCAATATTTGGTTGGACCGCATTTAGCTTTGATTATGGCATACATTCGCTGTGGCATTGTTTCAATAAGCTTCTGCAATGTCACAAGATCTATTTCCATCCAGTGTTACATTAATTTTTCACCAAGATCTTGCATTTATGACTAGGCACTAGGCATGATGGGTGCATCACTTCACCTGCCTCTCTTCACCTGCCTCTCTTCTTACCCTGATGTGCCCATCACTCTAGAACAGGGTAAATCTGGACTCATCAGACCACATGACTTTCTTCAATCAATCAATCAATCAACCTTTATTTATACAGGTAAATCCCATTGAGCCTTGAGGACTCATTTACAAGAGAGACCTGATTTCAACAAAGAAAGATGACAACAATGGACAACAGCAACAACAATAAGCAGTTATAAAAAAGCATACTACAGGTTTTTTTTTTGTTTGTTTGTTTTTTTTAACAAGTAGGATGGCTAAAAGGAAAAGGTAACAAAACAAAAAACAGCTAGATTCCAAGACAAATGTAGAAAACTAACAACAGGAACATGTCAGCATTGGACCCTGCCAGGTGTCCAACAGATTCTTAAAGACACTTAGAGAGGTCAAGGTCGAGAGCTTCAAATCTTTTTGTAAGATATTCCAGGAAACAGGAGCGGAATAGGAGAAGGCCCTTTTGCCTAGTTCAGTCCTCATTGAGGGAACACTGCAGGTAATAATGTCCTGAGAGCGCACTCCGTAGCTGCACTCACGCAGAGACATGTAGGAGGAGATGTATGAAGGCAACAGACCAAGAAGTGATTTAAAGATGAAAATGTACCAGTGAGAGAGTCTGCGTGAAGTTAATGATGTCCAGTTAACCAGTGAATACAGGGTGCAGTGGTGGGTACGATAATCACAGCCAGTTATGAATCTTAGTGCACCATGATAGACAGCATCCAACATCTGCAGGGTTCTTGTAGGAGCGTTCATGTAAATAATGTCACCATAATCAATGGAGGGAAGGAAAGTCACAGATACAAGGCGTTTTCTAGCATTCAGGGTTAGACAGGATTTGTTTCTGAAAAAGAAACCCAGTTTAACTTTCAGTTTCTTTACCAAGTTTTCCACATGGAGCTTAAAAGAAAGATGTGAGTCGACCAAGATACCCAAATATTTATAGGAATCAACAAACTCAATGGGGACACCATTTGAGGATAAAATCGGAGGAAGAACAGCTGGGACCAACTTCCTATTTGAAAAAAGCATCCCTTTGGTTTTTTTGGCATTTAGGACAAGTTTGAGGTGAAACAAATCAGTCTGGATGTAGTTAAATGCAGATTTCAAAAGCTGGAAAGCCTTAGCAACTGTTTTAGCTCGACAATAAACAACTGTGTCGTCAGCATAGAAATGTATGGATGCATTAGGGATGTTTTTACCTACATTATGTATGTAGATTGTAAAGAGGGTGGGTCCTAAGACTGAGCCTTGTGGTACACCATTGTTGACTGTTAAATAACTGGAGGAAGTACCATTATGTTGAACACATTGCCTCCGGTCTGAAAGATAGTTAGAGAACCAACCAATGGTGTGTTCTGAGAAACCAATTTCTGAGAGTTTATGACACAAGATGTTATGATCCACAGTGTCAAAAGCTTTAGACAGGTCTAAGAAAAGTGCAGCACAATAATCCTTAGCATCCAGTGCTTCAACAATGTCATTAAGAACCTTCAGTGAAGCAGTGGTTGTGCTGTGTTGTTTCCTGAAACCAGATTGATGTGGAGGTAAGATGTTAAATGAGTCCAGGTAAGTTTTGATTTGAGAGTTTATCAGTTTTTCTAGAACCTTGGCTAAAATGCAGAGTTTAGAGATTGGTCGATAGTTGTTCAGTGAGGTGGGGTCTCCTCCCTTCAGCAAAGGAAGAACAAAGGCTGTTTTCCAAGTGTCTGGGATGGAGTTTTGTCTTATGGAGAGATTGAAGATGTGGGTCACAGGGACTGTGATGATATGAGCAGCCAGCCTTAAGAAATAAGGTGGAAGTTCATCTGGACATGCAGATTTTTTAGGGTCAAGATCTTTTAACAGTTTATTGACCTCACTGACTGAGAATGGAGAAAAAGAGAAGCTGTGATTAACTGAGGATTGACTTGTAGGAGGGATTTGATTTGTAGAAGTTTGGTTATTAAGTGAAGTGGCTGATTTTCCATTAGTAACTGTGTCAAATAAAGAACCAGAAGCAACAAAATGTTTGTTGAAACAGTTCAGGATCTTGTGCTTGTTTGACACAGGAACAGAGTTAACGAGAAGTTGTGATGGGAGGTCAGATGATTGGGGGGTGCCTGAGAGAGATTTAATGGTTTTCCAGAATCTGTTAGGGTCATTTAGATTTTTGGAGGTCTGAGATAAGAAATAGTTGCGTTTTGCTGCTTTAACAGCAGTTGTGCATTTATTCTTCATCTGTCGAAAACTCAACCAATCAGTGTCTGAGCCAGATTTTCTCGCTGCGGCCCAAAGATGATCTCTCCTGTAACATTTTAAAGGAAAAATATGTTGATTCAAAATTTCACAGTGTCAACAAATCCCAAAAAAGTTGGGACAAGTAGCAATAATGCCTCTTTTCCATTAGTACCTGTAGTACCGGTACAGCACGGCTCTACT